GTGAGACAGGGTCATCTCCTCCCGTGCAGTGTGTAAGGCAGTGTGAGGCAGGGTCATCTCCTCCTGTGCGGTGTGTAAGGCAGTGTGAGGCAGGGTCATATGCTCCTACCAAAGACAGGCTGGTGAGTATGATAATATGCCCTTTCCCTAGGAACAAAAAAGCATCAGTGTCAAAGACATTTAAGGCTAGGCGGAGCACCAGATTTTAGCCTAGGTCCTGTATCTCTCTGTGAGGAACCGAGTTCAGCAAGGTCATAATTTGACCCAGCCAAGACTGAAACCTACCTCTCACCATTTCTCAAAGTTCTCTTTACTCATCACTTTCAAAAGTAAAATACACACACACACATACACACACACACACACACACACACACACACACACACACACAAGCCCGAAGCCCAAGAGAGCAAAGTTCGGTAGTCTAGGCTTGTCTAAATTTTCAAATATATGAAGGGTTCCCTAAACATTAACTCTGTCAACATTAGTAGGATTGACATCCTATTTTCAATTCTATGGCTGTGATAAAAAATAATAATAATAAAAAATAAAAAACAGACAAAAAGTAACTTAGAGGAGAAAGGGTTGTTTCATTTTGAGATTGCAGGTTTCATGACAGGGAAGTCACGGCTGGAACGTAGCTAACCCGCACGCCTAGTCAAGAGCAGAAAGAAACGCACCTGCGCCTGCTCGGCTCACTTTCCCCGTTCCCATCCAAGACCCAAGCTCGGGCAAAGCTGCCAACACCGTGGGCTGCACATGAATGAACAGAATCAAGACCTGTCCGCATGCCAACCTAGTACAGGCAGTCTCTCACTGAGACTCTTCCCCAGAGACCGTGCCAAGCTGACAGAATCAACTACCACAAGTGCAAAGGGAACAGGCAGGGCTCTTGAAGAGTTCTTTCAAGGACCTCGTTCTGAAATAGTTAACAATCTTTTCATTTTATTGTACGGAACGATCCTTTCAGAAATAAGCCATTCCCATTTTATAGCTAACACAGGCAATTTTTAAGTAAAAATATGTTAGATTCATTTTTCAGATGGAGATGTTTTAGGAGTGACTTAAATGCTCAAAAAATAATAAGGATATTAAGTATGAAGGAGCTACTAGGGGTAACAGGATGAATACTTCTGAGGAGGAAACACGGTTGCTGTAAGCGCTGATTCTGAACACACGGCCTGGTACGTGAGCAGTTCCATCATTTAGTCCTGTGGCGTTGGGCACATTTCTTCTGCTGAGTGGTTTTGTGTGTGTGTGTGTGTGTGTGTGTGTGTGTGTGTGTGTGTAAATGTGGCTGCAGGTATGTATACACACAGCACCCATTGTGGAGCCAGAGGACAACCTAAGGCAGCAGCCCTCAGGCACGGTCCACTTTTCTGTCTTGAGAAGGCTCTCTCGTTGCTCTGAAATTCTGCCATAGAGAGCAGTCTAGCAGGCCTGAGAGCTTTCTGGTGCCCGTCTGCCCCCGCCTGCCCCGCCCCCACGCCTGCTCCTACCTGCCCCGACCCCACCTGCCCCCCCCGCGTGGCCCGGGCCTGGCCCGTGCCTGGCCCCTGCTTGGCCCCTGCCCCCCACCTACTCCCCGCCTGCCCCCCACCTACTCCCCGCCTGCCCCCCACTGTCCCCGCCTGCTATCTTGCCAGGGTTCTGGCACCTGAATCATCCCCAAGCCCATCATGTTTTATCTTGTTCCAGCCTTAGTTTACATCCTTGTGATAAAACAGCGACGATAATACAGCACGACTTTTAAAAATGTAAAAACTACGCTCCTCAGTATAAATACGACATCGGGACAGAGGAACTAAAAGTCGATTTCAGAGAATAATCCTGATATTATGAAGAAAAGTATCTGGATGTTCCAGAACTATCGCCACTGCTGTATCACTATAACTCTGTGAACTATAAAGGGATTGCTATGTGAGAAGGATCTACAGCCAAATATTTGAAAGGTACAGAAAATATTTCTTATGGTTTTGACAATGATTCTAAACAAGGAAGGGTCGTCAGCTTTGAATTATTTAAATATAAAAAATCATTGTTTTAATTAGATTTGAAGGATAGGAGAAAGGTATCCAGAATGTACCAATGTATAGAATTTTAAAGCAATGGTCATTTTTAGATTTAGGATATCACTAAACCAAAGTAATCTTTAACAGGAACTCGTGAGTCCTGTGACAGACTATAATGGGTGGAAAAAACACCAAATATGTTTGAGTCAGCTCCCTTGAGATGCCTCTGGTGGTTCTGAAGTACATGACTTCTCCTTTCCCTTCACTTATTAACCACAGATTTACTCCCAGTACTCAATCAAGTCTTTTCAAGGGCTTGGTGAGGGTAGCATATTAGGGGGTGAAAGTAATCAAGTCTAAGAGAGGTTCAAGGTGCAGTATTGTTTTTACCATCCAGGTCTGTTAGGACACCACATAAACCAACAGTAATCAAGTCTGAGAGGTTCGAGGTGCAGCATTGGCTTTCCAGTCCAGGTCTGTTAGGACGCTGAGTAACCCAACAGCCCCTCCATTATTTTGCAATGTGAGTTCAGTTCTCTCTCTCCAGAGAAAACCCAGAACCACCTTCCCCTACTCCTGGGAGACTCCTACTGTGTGCTGGAGACACTTGCATTGGCCCAGGGACTACTGATTGCACCTCGCAGTCAGGTAGACTCCTTGGCATGACCTTCCTGCTGGTAGGGAAGCCGACCATGCTTTAGTTTCCATAGGAAACTCTTGGTTAGGGGTGTTGCTGAGTCTCTTAGAGAAACATTATCTTCTCTCTTCAGCCTTCTGTTGAAATCTTTATCTTGGTCTTAGAACATGAGGTTAGCATTGGTCTGAAAGGTTTTGGGAACACATATGTAGGAGGGTAGTGAGTTCAAAATGCTTGTTGAATAAACCGTGTGCTTAGAATCCATTACACAGTAGATGACATCATACTTATACTTATTGCTAACTCATTTTTCCTCGAATATTTGCTGACATCTTTGATTGACTTGTTCTGAATATCCACACTGGCACCATGCTATCTAAATCTTTGCATGAAGAAAGGCCAGAAGATAGTGTAATTGTGTGTGTGTAGAAAGATAAGAGAGATGGACGGATGGATGGATGGGTGAATAGAGAAAGAGATGGAATATCAGTATTCAATAGTAGCCACTAAAAATTATATTTAATTTGGTCATAATCACATCAGGATCTTATAAACTCATCAACTGTAATCAGAATGGGGGGGTGGCAATTTCATAGGTCTGAGATGACTGGTGGATGCAAGAAACTAAGGACCACAATTTAGTAGCTGTATGACTGTATGACTCGTCAGCTGACATCCGTGTAGGCAAGCTATCTCCTCACCTGTAAAGGGGATTCACGATAACTACCTCATGGGGTGTTTTTCAAAATTAAGTTTAAAGGCAATAAAAACACTACAAAAGTGTTCTTCCTGTTCCTGGTCATCTAACACACACATAGTCTGTGGGGGAAATCCGTGCGTTGCAGACACTTTTCTAAAGGGCAGTGAATATGATCATACAGGTTGGATTTACCCTCCAATGTGGAAGGAGTATCAGCATCCCGTGTTTCATACTAGGGGTGCGGAGGACCTGGAAGTGACTTCCATTGTTGGTCGTGTACAGGAGAGGACCTGGAGGGCAGGCGCTGGAGTTTCCAGGTTGTTGGCACATGGGTAGTTACGGGCAAGTGCTTATTAAAGGAAAGACAGATACAGAGGCGCCTGGGGTATATACCTTATCTCTCCTGTAGCGGGCTTCAGGGCACAAACGGAACTGGTGGTAAAGGTTAAGACTTTTTACAGTACCCCCCAGGCTCACACACTGCAGGTTCTCTGATTTTGCTCCCCTTGTCAACAATCCCAATCTTTTTAATGCTTCCAAGTTAATCTCTGAAACTCCCATCTACTCGGTTTCCTATTCTCCTGTCCCAGCAGCTCACTCCTGACCACTGAGCACCAGTCTGGAGCTCCTTGGGCCTCCCTCACTTTCTCCATCCTTCCTCCTTAGGTCCCCATCTACCCTTGATCCTGGGGGTTCACAGGCACAGCACCTCGAGTTCCCAGAAACCTCCTCTCCTCAGTCCTTGAGAAAACGAAAGCCACTTCAGCACTGGGGCCACCAAGAGGAAGCCGGGCATGCGCAGAGGCCTGGGGAAGCCATGGGCAGCGAGCGCGGTCCCACTGAGCCCCTAGTGCCAGCGCGCGGGCTCGCAGAGCCACACAGGGCGAGAGGCCACCTCGTACCTGATAGCGCCCGGTGAGCAGCTGGCTCCGCGAGGGTGTGCACAGCGGCTGCACGTAGTAGTTGTCCAGGACCACCCCGCCGGCCGCCAGCGCATCCAGGTGCGGCGTGCGGATGACCGAGCCGTGGAAGCCCACGTCGTTCCAGCCCAGGTCGTCTGCCAGCACGAAGACCACGTGGGGTGGCCGGGCAGCCCCGGAGGTCCAGCCCAGCGACGGCTGCAGGAGCAGCAGCGACAGGAGCAGCTGTAGCTGTAGCTGCAGCCCGAGGCCTCGGGCCTGCCTCCCGGTGCACCCCGGAGCAGAGAGCTCGCCCATCCTTCGCAGCCGGCAGAGCCCGAGTTGCTGTTGTCCCGTACAGAATCGGGAACTGAGTGACCCGGGGCCCGGCAAGATTTCATTCACTGGGGCGGGCCGCGGGCTGGGGAGGGCCGGCGTCCACGCCCTCCGCCTCCCCCACGGGGACGGGGGAGGAGTCCGCACAGAGCACGCGTGTAAACTCCACTGGTGTGGTGCTTTCAAAGCCTAGAGCAGAGGCCCGTTATTTTTCCTAGCCATGAACTTGAGAACCACGAGTTCCAAAGGGTTTCCACATCCCTTATCTAATTAAATCTAGCTGCAACCTTGACAGCTAAGCGTTATAATTAGCTCCCCTCTTCACCCTCCAGAAGAAACCACCTTGTAAATGGTTCTACTCCTGGCTCCCCATTCTGTTTCCCTGTGCCTGTGTCTGTCTATGTCTGTTTCTCCCTCTTTCTTGTGTTTGTGTGTGTGTGTGTTGGGGGGGGGGTGTTGTAACTAGCAACTTGTATCTAGTTCAAGGCCATAGCTTGGGGCACTTGAGAAAATAGGAGAGAGACATGCAGATGGTGGTGGTTCAGATCCATTTATAAAAAGTGTGTACCCGTGAAGCCACTTCCTTCCCATCAGCCCTGGGCTGAACACCACCCGTTTGCACAGGGTAAAGTTTCTTTTCCAGGTTGTTTGGGGGTGTGCTCACAGAAGACCGCCTGCTTATTCAATGTCTAGAGATGAGTGATAACTGTTAGGTGGAGGAGAAAATACTGCACCTAGGGAAGACAGCCTCTCAGGCTGAGGCCAAGTCCAGGGAGCTATTTTACAGCTTTAGAGACCGCGCTTGAATGACAGCCTTGACAAACAGCTACCCCGATGTGCACACATGACTTCTTCGCAGCTGGTCAACAGCCGTTTGTTGCCTTGTTCCTTAAACGGGTTTTAACTTCTTATCGGTTTGTTCACTAAGTTAAAGAAAATCTAATGATGTACTCATTTTTGCATTTGTGTGAGAGTAAAGATTTTTCCTTTTTTGGAAAATTATCCGTAACTGCTTAGCTTGTTTCCCTCTTAACATACTTACATTTTTTTTTCCTTTGAAGTAGACAACTACTTTTCGTCTTTTATAAAGAATGTAGCTGAAAAGTTTTAAATTTTAGCATTATAATTCTAGCATTATAAAAGAGCAGTTTGTTTCCCTTTGTGTTGAGGATGGACTAGGGGGAGACAGAAATGTCCACTGTGGTCTTTGCATATGCTTCTACCCCATAGTTAGTTGCTCTCTATATCCCCCCTCCTTTTTTGTTGCTTTTGTTTTTGTTTTGAACCAGGTCCTGGCTGTGCAGCCCAGGACAGCCTCCTCCAGCTCTCTGTCTTCCTCTAACAGAGGGGAACTGGGGTTACAGTCACATGCCATAATCCCAGGCTCTCCCTGTCCTTGATAAAACTCCAGCAGCCTAGCAAATCCTTCTTTAACAACTGCTCCTGAATCTAAGCCTACACCAGACTTCCTGTGTCCTACACTTTCAGCTAAGCATATAGGCGGGTGGTGCCCTGGAGACTTGCAGATGGAAGGGTCCCTTCTGGTTTCCATCTATGTCCTGAATGCCCATGGCATGCATGCTGTAGCAATAGTTAGTTGTTTTAAGTAATCTCTCCACTGGTGTTTGTTTGCTGCTTCGTCAGAATTTGAGTCAGGCGACACTTTGTACATGCCGGAAAGTGGTGTGGATGCTTCTGGAGCCTCAGCCAGAGGCGCAGTGTTGATCAGCTTCCTTGTGGAACCACTGTGGTCCAGGCACCCTATCTCCTCTGCAAAGTTACCCTTCCCCCTACAGGTGATCACTAAGGAGTTCTCAAACTTCGCTCATTGGTTTTTGTCTCTTGCCGAGTTGGTTATAATTAGGATGGCTACCAATAGTGACCTTTTAGCTTTCTTTCTATGAGTTTCTGAGTTCCCTATGTATTTAATTCACTGTGAACTCTTGGAATCTGGTTTTGATTAATATGCCCTAATTCTTTAGCATAATTATCACCCCCATCTCAACAGGCAGAGACTGCCTTATTGGAACAGCGAGTGACCCCAACATTTCCGAGGGATGAAGGGTGAGTGCATTTAGTGGGCATGGGAGATACACACACACACACACACACACACACGTACACACACGTACACACATGCACACATACATACGCACATGCACGCACATGCACGCACATGCACACACAGATACAGTGCACACATGCAGCACACCTATGCACACACACACACACACACACACACACACACACACAGCAACCAGGAAGTTAGAGCCATTTTTTTGTGACTTGCTTGGGACCAAAGTGGGTTGTTTTTACTATCTGAGCATATTGTTGCCACAGGTGGATCCAGAATGGTCAGGCTGGGGCTAAGTCGTTCTTTATGGCTCAGAGCTATTGCCCCCACCCCCACAGCCTGACTCAGTTCATTATGACCTGAGGCCAACATATCCCAACTCTGGGAGAGGAAAAAAGTGGGGGGCTGTAGTTTCAGGGAGGCTGCTTCCTGCCGGAGGGAAGCTGCAATATCAGCCTTGGAAGGGACATGTTGAGGTAGCTCCCGGGGAGTGGGGCTAGGGGCTGGTGGTGGGATGGGGCTGATGGTGGGATAGGGGCTGATCGTTTTCTGTCATGAAGAATTCAGTGACTTTCTGGGAGGCAAAAAGATGGTCAGCTCAAGGCCAGTATAGCAAGACTCTGTTTCAAAATAAATAAAATGTTTGCTGGTGTTTTATTGGAACTGAATTAAGTTTCTAAGTTAATTTTCAGAGATCAAGACCTCTGTGATACTCAATTATAGCCACGAGTGAGAGGTGCCTCTCCTTTGTGTGTGTGTGTATGTGTGTGCATTTTTTTAAATTAGATTTTTTTTTAAAAAAATACCAATCCAAATTCCCACTCTCTCCCTTCCTCCCATTCCCTCCACACACCCTCCCACCCCACACCCTCCAATCCTCAGAGAGGGTGAGGCACATTGCTTTGTGGAAGGTCCAAGGCCCTCCCTACTATATCTAGACTGAGCAAGGTATCCATTCAAAGAGAATAGGTTCCCAAAAAGCCAGTACATGCAGTAGGGATAAATCCTGGTGCCACTGCCAGAGGCCCCCTCAGTCTGTCCCAGCCATGCAACTGTCAACCACACTCAGAGGGACCAGTTGGGTCCTACGCTTGTTCCTTTCCAGTCCTGCTGGAGTTGGTGAGCTTCCATTAGCTCAGGAAGACTGTTTCAGTGGATGTCCCCATCATGGTCTTGACCTCTTTGCTCATATTCTCACTCCTCCCACTCTTCAATTGGACTTTGAGAGCTCAGCTCAGTGCTCTGCTGCGAGTCTCTGCCTCTGTTTCCATCAGTTGCTGGATGAAGGTTCTATGGTGATATTTAAGATATTCATCAGTCTGACTACAAGGAAAATCAAGTTCAGGCCCCCTCTCCTCTATTGCTTAGGGTCTTAGCTGGAGGGGAGAAGGGGAGATTTGAGGAGAACTTGAGGGAATGGGATAGTCGAGATGGAGGAAGGACAGATATGAGAGCAAGGAAAGAGATATCTTGATTGAGGGAGACATTATAGGCTTAGCAGAAACCTGGTTCTAGAGAAATTCCCAGGAATCCACAACGCTGACTTCAGCCTCTCCACTTTTAAGACCTGCATCTGTAACCTTTAGAGTACATGAAGATTTTTCTCCAACACTTTTTTTGGTGGCTTTTTAGATTTTATTTATTTTTATTTTATGTTCATTGATGTTTTGCCGCAGGTGTCAGGTCCCCTGGAACTGGAATTACAGACATTTGTGAGCTGCCACATGGGTGCTGGGCATTGAGCCTGGGACCTCTGGAAGAGCAGTCAGTGCTCTTATCCACTGAGCCATCTCTCCAGCCCTCCTCCAACACTTTTCACTTATTCAATTAATTCCTGAGTACTTCTTCTCTGCTGCTGTTGAAATGGGGTGATCACTACCATTTTGTCTTTCAAAACATTTTTGTAATCACAAACACATGCTGATGTTGTAATCATTTAAAAAGATAATGTGGAACAATCTCCAATACACCTTCTTGGAAACAGTGAAAGTTATGGGTGGCATGCTTTTATTTTCTTCAAGTGTGTGTGTGTGCGTGGAGAGACAGGGGGAGGGCTGTTGTCCTAGGTAGATAGGTTGGTCAGCAGAGGGATGGGAACATACTCAGTTTTCCACCATATGTATCCTTCTGTGCCTTCAGTTTTGAAAAACCTCTGCATCTGAGTATCGATCTCTTCTTGTCCTATTAACATTATTATTAGTAATGCAATGGCACAATTTGCAGAATGTCACGAGCAAGTCTTCACCCTCCACTAAGGAACCACACCCACAGCCACCCATTCCCACTGTCTCCTGCTGTCTCCGGCTTGTGCTGAAAACCAGTAAGCTAAGCTCAGAGACAGAACCCCAAGCAATTTTTGTCTCAGTGCCGTTGAATGTTCGCAGTACCAGCAACCGAGGCCAGGCCTCCTCAGACCCCTATGTCTGAACGTGAAACCGTTGGTGTGGGTAAAGAGAAGCTACGCAACGGCTGAGATAAGACTGGCAAGCGGGCTTTCTTCAGAGAGATAACTAAACGGCATGGCCGTGTGTTAAGTTGTGGTTGATGTTGCTCATTGTTCCTGGCTGCACAGGTCAGGCACCTGAGCATCAGAAAGGGGGCCAAAGTCTGTTCATCTAGATGCTGTCTAATAAACTATTTTCATGATGTATTCGGTTATAGAAATGGATGTGGGAGGCATTTGTAACTAAGAGCAAAGGATCTCATAGGTATGTAAAGTCCTAAAACAGGTGTCCAAGAAGTGTTCTGGAGGCCTTGGACCCTTCTTCCATTTGTTAGTACTTACATGCATACACTTTCTGTACTGTTGAAAGAGCCCTTGAGCCTCCAGACAGCCTATTAAATAGGTAATTCTTCATAAAGAGTACCTTCAGTTTTTTTTTTGTTTTTGTTTGTGTGTGTGTGTGTGTGTGTGTGTGTGTGTGTGTGCGTGTGTGTGTGTGTGATGGGAGGGGAAAGGTGAGGGGGGAAGAAGAAATATAATTCCCTTTAGCTCTTAAAATTCTCCAAATTTATGAAATT